CAGCGTTTTTGTTACCATTTCGGTCAATTATCCCCACACCCAGTCCTCGTACCCTCGACCCGCCCCTGATTATGAATACTACCGTCTATTTAAATTATTGTGACATGTGATTTTCTTTATTTTAGGAAAATAACGAAATGTTATATGATTGCCAAGGATTGGCAACCCTTCATTAGAGGACGTAAGCAAATTATAGGTAGCCGTACAACCCAAACAATGCGCCAAACCATACAGTGTAGCAAGTTAGTAAAATCACCGATATGCGGTCTCACTAATTAGCGACAAGAAGAATTTTCGCGACAAGAAGCGTCAAGCGTCAAGAAGCGACAAGTAGCGACAAGAAGAATAATTTAGCGACAAGAAGACTATTTAGCGACAAGAAAACATAAAATAAATATTAAAATAAATATGCAAAAGAAAACAAATTTAGCGACAAGAATGTTAATATTCTATTAATAAATATATAGATCTAATTGCTACATTTATTTGTGATATTTTATTATTTATTATGTACTACAGCAAGTATGACGTTTACCCTGTCGTATTATGATCTATAATGATAATAATTTTACTCGTGTTTTAGAACAATAATATATTTATCTTATAATATCATGTTTATGCATAGTTTAATGTTGATTGAAGATTAAAGTAAATTAATGACAATTGAAGAGTTTTCAACAGGTGTTCACTATTTACAACAACAACCGAATAACAGGCTTCTAGTTTGAGACAGACACATAAAGCCCCGGAGTGTGGCGAGGTTAAGCATGATTGTGAGCGTTCAACTATTTCCAACCTGGGGCAGTTTATATAAATAGCATTTGAAACACAAGAAAAAACTGTGCAATGTTTGTTTTAGATTTTATTTCATAAGTTTTGAAATAATTAAGGCTTGTATTACTTTGGTGTTTGTTGTTTGATGACAAGACAGGTTTTAGGCTTTGCTCCGAATTTTTTGGGAGGACTCTTTAGGTAAGCGATAGTATATGAAATTGAATGTTTCCAGCACCGGAACATTAAAAAAAACACACCGGGTATCCTGATCCGAAACCGCGGAGGTATACGAATCCCGAGGAGCAGTTAATGATTCCCAGAAATTATGCTCCAAATAAACCAGATTTTCCCTAAATACAAACGTAGCAGGATTTTTTGTCTTGTTAGTTCATAAGGTAACAATCCCCAGAAAGACATGTGACCTTAAAATGGCTCCTTATTCTGACAGCGAGTCGACCAGTCTTTGATCTGACTCCTAAATACTTCGTGCTCAAGGTGAGTCAGTTCCACGAGACCACCTAGGCGGTTCATGAATTTGAAATATGATTGTCAAAAGTGGTATGCAATTCGTTTAACCAGATGCTATTGTGGATGTACCCAATCACTATCAAACATAGCCACTACCGTTTGTAAAAATAGTAAATAAAGCACCCCCCATCAGCAAAAACCTCTGGGATTGTTTTGACATTATCTCTTTCCAGATGAACATCGGATTATCTATATGCCCAACTAAAATTGCTGATGTTATTAAAATAAAACATTAGCTTGTTTGCTTGTTTGTGTCTAAAGTCTCAGTAATATTGATTGTCATGGCAACCAGTTTTTTGTTGTTGTTTTTGTGTGGAGGGAGTAGGAGTAATCAGAGATAAGCACCAACTTGTCAATTAAGATCAGATTTGAAAACACTTCTCCATGAGTAGGGTTCGAACTTTCAAGCTCAGAGTGGAAAGGTTAACGAAAATTAAGAAAAATCTATTAAAATAGTAACGGGTAAAATGACCATTATGATTTAAAATAAAATGCAAATGAAAATAATGTATAAAATAAAATATTCAAGTGGGGTCGAAATTTGACTTTTATAAAAATCAGTGCCATACAAATCTGTGACCAGTCAATAATTTAGGTAACAATGATCAGTTTCACTTGAAAATATAAACAACTATTAACTCGAAGAATTTGTAATAAAACTTTTATTTCTCATTACATTGCTTTTTAACACTATAAGGTTTTTGTATATTAAAATAAAGGAATCGTATTTTGGCAATGGAAAAAGAAACCCATTTATATAAAAATGTATTACATTTTATTTTAATAGATATAAGAAGATGTGGTATGAGTGCCAATGAGACAACTCTCCATCCAAGTCAAAATTTATAAAAGTAAACCATTATTAACTACATTTTCCAATTCCTCTTTCTGGATAAAATGAAATTTTAAAAACCACCACACCATCATTTGACGAAATCAATGAGCATTCCCTGGAGGAGGAAAGTAATTTACCTATGTTTGAACTACCAATTCTCTCAAAAATACCAGCCATTGACATGTTAATTTTAGGAGATAAAGGTATCAGTTGTCTGTCTATTGGTCCCATGTCCTACAACAGTTGATAAACCTTTTGTTTACAAGAATCTTGATTTGGTTATTTCTTCGGTAACAAAAAGTAGAGGCACAGTAAATGCAAAAAAATATGTAAAACCTCTTTCCATCTTCCCAATTTTCTAAGTGTTTGAACATAGTCCTTATCATGATAACCAAGTTTTGTAGAGCACGGCAGTCCGTTCATAGTCATGGTCATGTCCAATACAGTTATTAATACAAACTATTTTCTGTTATAAATTTAGGTTGTTACTTCAGGAATTTATTCCCAAAGAAACATTTCAAACCAATTTTGCACAAAACTGTCGTATAAGCCTGCTGTTCTGGTCAAATGTTATTATAATATACTGTTCAAAAAAAGAAACGCATACAGTAGCTCCGATGAATTTTTCAAAATGCAAAATATATATTTTACAAGGTAAAATGAAATGGTCAATTGCATCTTCGAAGTTTTAAACTTTAAATGCCCGTTCTTTTGATTTGGCTCTCTGCCACATGAAATTTGCGACTCGCTAAAAGTGCATTTGACCTTTTTCGCCGAGAATTTTGTGGTCAAGACAACTCAACTGTTACACTTTTAAGGACCAAGTTTGAAGATTTAAATTCATCACAACGTTAAAACGCTGCCATACCAAGGTTGGACCCTGCCATTCGAAATATCGTTATCGGCCGTCTCCAGGCCGGAGTGTCCCAAAGTGAAGTAGCAAGAACTGAAAATGTTAACCAGAGCACAATTTCGAGACTTTGGAACAGATAACAGCAGACTGGCTGTACTAAGGACCGCCCGAGGAGTGGACGACCTCGCCTAAAGATTTCTGGACAAGATCGCTACATCCGGGTATTTCATCTACGGAATCGAACCGTTGCCGCAACGGCCACTGCAATTGAGATACCAGGATTGAGAAGAATCAGCGCACAAACAGTCCGCAATCGACCGCGACAACATGGCATTAGACCCGGGAGGCCGCATTTTGGACCCGTTTTGAGGCCATTACACAGACGGAATAGAGTTCAATGCTGCAACAGATTGAGGGCTGGACATTCAGCAACTGGCGCAGAATCTGGTTCAGTGATGAGTCCCGTTTTATACTTCAGAAACGTGATGGAAGAACTCGTGTCTACCGGCGCATGAATGAACGTTTTGCTTCCTCGTGTTTCCAAGAAGTGGGCAGCTTCGGTGGAAGAAGTATCATGATGGGGGCGGCTATCTCTAATGACCGTTAAACGGAATTGGTACATGTTCCGGGTAATTTAACGGCTCAAAGGTACAGAGACGAAATTCTCCAACCTCACTTTATGCATGGTATTGACCGACAGAGGTAGTTATTCCAGCAGGACAAAACTAGGCCTCACACAGCGCGTTTACTAATAGACTACTTGAGAAGAATAACATCAATGTGCTACCTTGGCCTTCAAAATCACTGGACTTGAATCATATTTAGCATTTATGGGACCAACTGAATAAACGTGTGCGCCAGCGTCAACCCCGCCTCAGACCCTTGATCAGCTCCAAAAAATGTTGCAAAAGGAATGGCAAGCAAAATTCCACGCAACAACATTAGAACATTGATAGCATCCATGCCGAGGAAATGCGTAGCAGTCTTAGCAGCGAAAGGTGGTCATACACGGTACTAACTTTAATGGCACCGGAAGTAACTCTAAATTGACTTTTATTTACTGTCCTATTCTCAATCAAACACGTTTTGAGTGAATATCTTTATTAATAATTGTAAAATTTCAATTCAAAAATTTAAAAATTCATTATGCGTTTCTATTTTGCAGAGTATATATAGCATTATATGGTAAAATAATGCAGAAGACACCAAAGGGACAATCAGAAATCGTAAGTCGAAGAAAAACAGACACGACCATTGCAAAAAATAAAAATAGAAGCGTCAAAAAGACAAAAACAGTTTACAAATCACTACACAGAAAACTAAGACATGATAGGTGGCTTATAATTACACACTACCACTTCATTTGAGTTTTATTGGTAATCCTATCTCATTTTTATGTGATGGTTGAGCAATCCCACCCAAAACCGGGGGGTGATCTCGTATCCTGTTCCATTTATGGCACCCGTCGTGTTTCTCATTACAAGTAAAAATTCGGTTATTCCCTCAGTCAGAAAAATAAAAAAAAAAATCAAATGAAAAATTCTGATGCTAAATCTGTTTTTAATTAAATGAACATTTTTTATATACAACGTATGCACAAACGGGTAGTATATATTGAAGGTAAATCCAGAAAAATGAAATTATTAAACGTGTTGTTTTCAATTTTTTAATAATCATGTTGCATTGTTAGAAAGTACATTTTTCTTTCCCTGTTATATATAAGTTCAAAATGTCCGGCGACTAAATTGGCGCAAGACATTTGTGCTAAATCATTTAGCCCAAACGTGCATATCCCGAATATTTAATTATAGCTTAAATTTGTAGTGTGATCGGATTATGGTTAAATGACAAATATTATTCTTTCGTTTTACATCTGAGCACGTGATTGGTCCGCCGTCCTCTTATATATTTCATTATTAATATTGTATATAAATTATCTCAACACCAAGACTTGCATAATGTCTGGTAAGTATTCTCATTTCTACCACTTAAGTTTTCAAATTAGTTAAAAACTATAATACTGATGCTCGATGCCAATTTGATGCTGTTCATCTAAAAGAAACAGTAAACCCTAAGTTTCGTTTGACAGAAGGAACAATTATTTGGCCTTTCTATGAAGTTACTTCTGATAATTTTCCACCTATATTATTTATCTAATTCCAGGCTACCCACATCAGAACAACGACTGTCAAAATTATCCTTAACAACCTGGTGTAAGTTTAAAATACTCTTGGAAAACGCAAATAATGCATAAATTGATTATAATATGGAATTTAAAAAATACTTTGTTCAGTATTGATATTGTTAAAAACGAACATTTTGAATACCAAATCCTATATAGATGAAGCCAGATCTTATCAAGTGACGAAACCATCGATATTCTATATCACCTGTATAATGCATATATCTACATAAAAGTTGGGAAATATATATGTAATACATGTAATTAGATAGAACAAGTGACAGAATGATTAACCTCATCTCTCGTTGTTTAATTTTATTCACTGGTATAATTATAGCTTTATTTGACAAAACAACTGTGTCATGCCTTTTTATATAGAGTTGAAGGTCGCGTGGTCACCTATAGTACATCTACACCGTTTGGTCTCTTGTGGATAGTTGTATCATTGGCAATCATACCACATCTTATCTTTACATCAATACATATGCACTAAAAAGTTGAATTTTTTCCATTAGTGCATTTAAAATTCTCATATCAATATTTTAGACTGGCAAGACTGTAATAGTGGAGAATATATATGACCCAAGAGCCTCACTAAGCGGAGTGTCGCAGAAAAGTATACCGGTAAGTAGACAATATGAAAAATAAAGATCAAAAAAGGGAATTAAAAAAAACGTCAATATTAAACTCAGTGTTAAATATCTTGAGTGACAATAGTATTAAACGCTACATATAAAACTCAAAGCACATTCTGGTACCTTTATGAATGTTCAATGACAATACAAAAAGATCTTTTAAGGGGGCGCTTTAGTACAGCAAGCAAACAGGCATATAAAGCAACATGATATCGCAAAATTAAAGCAAAATAATACAAAATTATAGCTACAATTTCACTTAGAAGATAAACGAACTGTTCCAATTTGTCTCTTGTGTGAAAGGGTTTGGCATTGTATATTTCAGTAATGTAACCATCTCCAATGATTGATCATGTGGTGTTTTTTTCTTCTTCAAAAAATGCTGTTGCCTCAAAGACTGACAGCTTTATAGTACATTTACGTTTATATAAAAATGACGAAATATCGGTAAAATATGAAATTGTTCATGAAGCATGGTAGAGTTCAAGCCCAATAGCTTTTTTGAAAGAAAAAAAAATAGATTTGGTATCAAATCGTTGTCTCTTCCAGCTACCTCCTCCAGGATGCGGCTCTAATGCAGCGCAACTAGCACAGATGCAAGGATATACAGTTATAGGAACACAACAAAATCTGGAACGAGACTGATGGTGGGGAGAATTTATGCCTTTGTAGATTAGGATTTGATTGAATTCATAGACAATTATTCATCAACTGTTTAAAGTACAGCACAAAACAGATATGTGCTCTCTAGTTTTCTTGCAAAGATTTGATTAAAAGTTGTTATAAAAATGCCTTGTGTAGAAAAGAAAACTTGCTTCGGTTGAACTCCGATAACTTCGTGGTAAAGCAAAATAAATAAAGCTGCCATGCATGAACAATATTGATTTTAGCAATTGAAAGACAATTAACACATTCATGGATTATGCTGTAAAATCAGTCATTGTATTAACCATGTAATATTCCAAGTACTAGCTTTTTTGTTTACTTTAAAGATTTAATTTGAAATCGAAATTTATAACACATACACTGTTAAATATGAGAGGTCTAATACTAGCACATGTAACCTTAATTACTAAATCTGTAATGTAAATTAACTTGAAAGTAGGAGCATTGTGTTTTATCATCAATGATCTTGGTGTATTAGTTATCAAATAAAAGAAGATGATATTCTAGGTGTCCCTAATCATTTCATGGATAGGCTGGTCACTTTTAGCAATAACAATATTTCATCAGTATTTTGATGTACAAGATGTTTAAATGAACATAATTTACCAATGAATGTCGGGCTACCCGAAAGAACGATTCATCCATAGTTTCATTATATTATATTATTAGCTGACATGTCATTGCCCGGAGTATGTGCGCATTTAGTATTTGCTATTGGACTTTGGATCGAATGTGTATGTTGAACAGTGTTTCTGGGTAATTCTGTGTTTTTTTTCTTTGCTGGTTATATGAAATAAAGATTGCAAGCTCCAATTCTTTCCTAAGGCATCGGCCTCCCAAATATGGAGTAGCACAGGTTAGCTACTAAATCTACAAAATGTATACACACTGAAATATAGTTTTCCCAATAATTCCCATGTCTGTGTATATAGGCACATATGAAATGTGAAAGCAATTGGGTTAAATATCATTGGAGCAGTTCATTCAAGTATGTATGTCTTTAAGTTTTGTCTATTAATTCAAGAGTAAGGTATTGTACAGCAGGCGTGTCATTAATAAGTAGGAACCGTATCTCTTATGGTCCTTATATTTTTGTGACAATTTTCGGACCATTTATCCATTAGGAACTTAGATCCATTAGATACTTTGATTTGCCGACCATTCCAGTTTTATCATTTTTTGCAGTCTCAAATCTGCATTTGTGAAGTATATTTTCTTCCCGCATTTTAACTTGAAATCAATACACTTCAACCTTGGGAGACTCAATAAAACTGACCAAAAGGTACTGTAAAAGTACAGGAACATTCACATCATATTTCGTATCATTTAAGTGAGCAACTTATATAAGATGTGGATATTTTTCAGACTAAAGTGAATTAGTCACTTGCTAGCATCCACAAAATAACAATTAAATGTGTTAGATAAGATATGAACTAATATTATTTATTTTTTCACTGCTTAGTGAGATAAAGAGAGAAAAGACATACTAAAACCTTGTATTCAGATCTACAATCGAGGTTATTATCATTAATTGCTACTGAAACTGATCATGGTTTCGTTAAATTTCAAGAACATTGCAGATTTTGAACACATCCTGACAACCACAATAAAGATACTGTACCTGAAAGAATGCCTTTCTTTCCATATTTGAATTTTTAAGTTTTCACTCACCTTAGATGGATTTGGCTATTCTTATTTATGTGTTATTTTTTGGTCTTATAAGCTCCTGAACAGTTTTAAGTATTTATCATCCATGGTTTTCAAATTCTTGGGTTTGACCGATCCTGATGAAGGTAAATCCAGAAAAGTGGTTCAGACGCACAAAATTCATTAAGTGTGATTTTCATTTGGACGACTATTGAAAAATATCTACAAAAATGTGCCTTTTTAATAGTTCATTAATCATATCTATGCATACATCACATGTAATATAGGAGTTGAAATGTTTAATCGGATGCTATGTGTTGGAGAAAAAGCTATTTTCTTTGCACATACAAGACGTTTCTGCTCCTACCAAACACACCGTTTTTCCTTGACAGTCCAAATGTCCTATCCTCTATCACAATCAATCCATTTTGAAAAACATACCTAAATGGGGTTTGTCAAATTTGATCTGGTCTTGAATTTGCAAGAAATATTTGCCACTAGACATTTGAGCAAATAGCAATCAATCAATCATCGAACAGTTTTACATAATAACTAAATAACATTGGGTATAGACAAATACTAAGGGCATGTAATTTTTCCTTTTCATGTTCAACATAGTGAATGTAAATAGACCTGCTTCCTCTCTGTTCTATATGAGATTTGTACTGTAGAATAATAAAATTCAAGGTTATATGATTGAGTAATGACTGCAGGTTCCTTACCATAAACTAGTGTTAAATTACAAAAAAAAATGATTTTCTATTGTATACATCAAATAATGACGCTTAAAAGCTTAATCAAAGTCTCTGATCAATGACATACATCTATATGCTATTTGACCTTGGTCATCTTATGGCACATGGCCAGTCTTCCCAGTATTCATCTGCATTCTGCACACTAAATGTTATTGGTGTATGTTTATTAGTTTCTGAGTAATGGCTACAGACCTACATCAAACTAAGAACTATATTATACATCTTTTTTTCTTTGAAAAGCTTTTGGTAAGTGAGTATAGCATTGATTAACTTTTCCCAGGGTTACATTTGCATCTAACCAATATACATCCAAGCTCAAAATTATTAATTAAAACTTGGATTTACCATGAATTATGACACCAATAAAATAAAAGAACTTCGGTCATTTAAAAAGGTTATTTCGGGGCCTTTTTAAGCTTACTATGCGGTATGGGTTTTGCTCATTGTTGAAGGCCTAACAGTGACCTATAGTTGCTACTAGTATTAAAACATTTGACCTTTCTACACTTTACACAAGTATTTCCCATTTCAAACTACAAATATCTTGCCATAGGGAGGGATAAATCCTACTTTGTAACAAATCACTCCGATTCAAACAAAAAATTCTCTGAAACTTGACATTATCAAGAGGCTTGATTTCTTGATTGACAACATATTTGTTACGTTTGGAGGACATGTTTTTCAACAAACAATCAGCATTCCCATGGGAACCGACTTGTTCCTTTATTCATATGAGGCTGACTTCATACAGGAGCTTCTAAGGAAGAATGAAAAGAAGCTACCATTATACCCTTAATTTCACTTTCCGCTATAAAGATGATGTCCTCTCACTAAATAATTCAAAGTTTGGTGACTATGTTGAATGCATCTATCCCATTCAACTTGAAATAAAGGATACAACAGATACAGTTAAGTCTGTCTCATATCTTTACTCAATTCTAGAAATTGACAAGGAGTGTCGGTTGAAAACAAAACTTTATGACAAAAGAGATGATTTCAGCATCCCAATTGTGAACTTTCTATTTCTATGTGCACCATTTCAGCAGTACCTGCATAGGGAGTATATATCTCCCAGTTGATACGATATTCCAGGGATTGCATTTCCTATCATGATTTCCTTGATATAGGGTTGCTGCTCACAAGGAAGCTATCAAACCAAGAGTTCCAAGTGCTGAAGTTGAAATCATCCATTCCAGAATTCACAAGACGCCATCAAACATTGGTTGACCATTACAGTATATCTGTTCCACAGATGACAACGGATATGTTCCAATCGTCGTAACCACAATCCCACCCTCCTTTACCCTGAATGTGAACTACCACATTATACTTATTACTGGCTTTGTACTACCACGAACAACATGACAGGTTCCACATGTAGATCAGGATCAGCTTACCCTTCCAGAGCAACTGAGATTACCCCAGTTTTTGGTGGGGTTCGTGTTGCTCAGTCTTTAGTTTTCTATGTTGTATTTTGTATACTGTTGTTTGTCTTTTGGTCTTTTTCTTTCTTAGCCATGGCCTTGTTAGTTTATTTTCGACTTATGAGTTTGAATGTAACTTTAGTATCTTTCACCTCTCCGCTATGTTATTTGATAACTGGTGGAGAGTTGTGTTATTGGAATACCATACTTTAATACTTTGTAAGGAAGGCTAAGATTCAATAGTTTTTAATGATATGTGAAAGAAATAATTTAGAATTAACAACTGTATACATATATAATCATAACAATTACAGTAAAACTTCATAAAAAAACCATTAAAATGTAAAAGACATTAAAACAAAGTATTGAATAACAATTTACTTAAATTTAAAAAAAAGATCATGTAAGATTACAAAACTTATCTCAAGTCACTTTGCATAACCATTTACCAATATGCAGGTGAAATGAAATTAGCTAACAACTAATAACTCTTTCATTTCAACTAACTTCATTAATAGTGTTCTCTTATTTATTCATCATGCATCTCAACAATATACAATATGCAGTAAACTGAATCCCTGTCTTGTAATACTACTGTTGTAGTATATAACTTATTGGATGGCTGGTAGCAGTAGAGGGAATCATAGTGTATATTGTACAGGTTGGGCAGTGAGAAAGTAAATTTGAAATGTATGTAGAAGATTGAAAGAGCATGCATTACACAGCTGGTATCAATGTCAAATTCCAAGATTGGTCACTCTCCAACCAAATAAAGCATATTAAGAACTGCTTCTAGCCGTCACATACGTTCTTTCAATCTGATAGGAATGATACTTTAATGGATGAGTTACACAGAATGTTTTTTAAACAACAAAGAATGGTCTATAATGGACATGTGCATCAATGTATTTCAACAGCAAAAATGAGGTGTCTACAAATGGTCCTTCCTAAACAGTTTTAACAGATTTTGCCTTGTTAACAAGATGATATACACAGTATATTAAAATCTTCAGTTACATAGAAGGAGTACCGACACTTAGAGTTTATATTAAAAAATTGCACAATAAATTTGAAAAAAAAATAATGGAATGAGTACTTTCTTTATAATAGATCTTATTTCTTATATTTACATCATTTCTGCCACGTCTTAATCAATTTTGCCAAGTACTTTCTTAGGAGATGAGGAAAACAAGAAAAAGTAAAAGGGCCAAATGATGACAGCATTTCACACAGGCCCTTTCTGATGGATAAGCTAGAAATGAGATGCAAAATATGCTAGTACTGAGGCTTTTGACGGTGCTAACGTTTGGCAAAAAATAAATTCATATTATTATGCAATTATTTTCAGTATCAAAGTACAGGGTATGTAAAAATGAGCTACACCAAGTCCAGCATTACACAAAACAATGGTATGGGCTTCCTGCAAGCTAAATTTTCCAAGATCTAATCAAAATCCATAGGCACAGTCATAAAGTTCTTGTAAAGGAGGGAAACAGATTTCCAAAAACCAATCAGATGGAATAAAAATTAAAATACTTATAAGAGTGATGACCTTTGAATTGTGGTTCAGAATACTAAAGTATACAACAGCAGGACAAAAAGATTTTGATTTTTGATTTTTTGTGTTTTAACGCCACTTTTAAGCACCGCTTTTGGGCTATTTCGTGGCTGACAGTTTTTATTGGTGGAGGAAGCCGGAGTGCCGGGAGAAAACCACCGACCTTCGATAGGAAAACTGACAATCCTAGTCAATTAAGATTGGAGTTGAGTGCACCTGCACGAGCGGGGTTCGAACTCACAACCTCAGTGTTGACTGGCTAGTGATTACAGTAGTAATTACTTAGACCACTCGGCCACCGAGGCCCCTCAGGACAAAAAGAAGGTGACCTGCCAAAACAGGTTTTTGCTTTAAAGTTTTGACCTTTATACAATGTAGCAGGTTTGATTGTATGTAATTTGAAATATACTTGCAAATAAATATTGTTTTACTTTCATAATTAAATGAAAAAAATTGTTTAAAAAAATGCCTAATTGCAAAAATTTGAACTAATTGTATTTCTTCAATAGTCCAATGTATTACCTTGTTATAAAGAACTTGAGAAATATTTCCAAATCAATATTTATGAGTTTCAGTTGTCAACTCAATATCATTAACAAAAAGACTCCTTCTTAAGCAGTCTACAAATTTACATGTAAATAAAGTAAAAAAAAACATGTTGAACAACTAATTATTCATACAAAATTCTTGATTATTAATAAGTGCTTTCAACAACTAACAGCCTATAAATTTTTTTTAAATTATGACAGTTTTAACTGATTTTTTTCTGATTGTCATTGCAAGAAAAATAGAAGTTTATATTATTTCCACAAGAAAAATAGAAGTTTATATTATTTCCACAAGAAAAATACACCAACACTAAAGACTAAAACAGTTAGAGAAAAGAGTAATCCTTTCACTGAAGGTAAGCAATTCTCTATCCAGTCTCTCTCTACAACCATGGGTGGTTCTTCATCTATAACGGGGATGGCTTTTCCTGCTTTCCTCTGCATCACCTGTCATATACAAACAAGGTAATTTTTTTATCATTGGTGACGTGTTCATAAAGCCTTTTCTATATAGTTTTATATATACATACACAATGACTTCTATGTAAAGTCGTAACTAAAGGGTTGACTGGGGTAAAACAAAATATGGTCAATCCTGGACTTTTCCTGGTATGGCAGTAAAACCCTTTGGTCGTCCATTTGGCTGTGTGGGATGTATGAATTTGCAGCCGCTTCTGGTGAGCATGGGGACCTTAATCAGATGGGGAAACTGTCACAATCTGCACTTTATAAGCCTTGTAATATATCTCTGAGTGGTCAGTAGGTGACCAGGGCTCTCGGTCATAAACCTTTACTCAGTACTAGAAGTAAAAAATTTGTGCTTGAAACACAGAATCCAGTATATTGATTGGTTGATTTTTGAGTCTGAGCACCGTAATCGTTCTCTTAATTTTTATGACCACAAGGCCTTTTGTGAGGCACAATTTCTAACCTATACCACATACACTTGTAGAACCTACCTAACTATTGCCTTAGTTGTTATTAATTTGTTCTTGTTGTGAATATATATGAATGAAATAATTAACACTGGACATTAATTAGCAAGCAACAATCAATCAACCAATATATGAAAAGTCTCCTGATCAGAAAATATTTCATCTTAAAATTTCCACCAAATTATTCTGTAAAAAGGTTTATAGTAAGATCTTTATAGGAAAAAAAAATCCAAGAAGTCATTTAGAAGACTGTATACATTATTGACATTTAATAATAATACTATTAGTTCAAATTAAGTACCAGCAAAACAATGTTCTTCCGTGGCAGGCCATACAAGTGAATATAATTTAGCATTTAAATTCAGGTCTACTCTGGTTTAAATGAATACGGGTAATAGTTTCAAAAGAGTCATCTTATTGTACAATTCTATGAAGTCCTATATAGTATTTACAATATGCTGTCAGGGGCAATTTGAATGAATAACAGAGTCATTGTATAAAAAATTCAAAAGTCAATTATGTAAAAGTAAAATTTATGCCAAAATTTGTAAAAATAGCTTCAATTAATATAACGTTTCTTCTATAACCTTTTTTTCCAAACTTCTATGCATACTAAGAATATGAAAGCTGAGTAACAAGTACCACCTATTATAAACAGATGGACAGGTTGTATAATGATTAGAATTTGTGTTTGTTTTCAATATAAGTACAGCTAAGCTAGATGTTGATCACATTAAAATACATGCATCAGAAGCAAGACCAAGTAGAATAATTCAGTATCAATGAAATGTGGTATTTATGTTCATGACACCCATCAAACATCGCATAAAACCCTGTAAGGACAGGCCTCATTTGTGTAAAAGCACCTTAGTTCCTTCATTGGAGATTTTAAGCATACTATCAATAATGTGAGAGTTCATCAGAAAAATTTTAAACTAACTAAATAACTAAATTATCATGCTCTGATAAGAAACTTTAGATAGATCTAAATTGTTGATATTTCTTTGCTAAGAGAAGAAAACAACACTTATATTAAATTGTTGTTTTCTACAGAAATATTACACATTTAATAATTTATGTACAGAGGATGCAAACATGTCATACCAATATATCACTCTATAGGAGGATGGGAATGGTGTACCCTACATGATGATAACACTAATTATTTTGATAAAATAATGTTCGTAATTAACATTTTCTATGTTTGAAGCTAATTGTATCTCAAAAATAGGATGTGACTTGTCACAAATGACAATACAAATTGTAGGCTCACTTTATACTTACAGTTGGTTTTTAAAAAGGGGGAATTTGATGCTTGACCATTACGTCCATTCCTACATTGAATTTCATATGGTCATTAATATGATTACAATTTTTGTAAAAGGGAGTGAGGGACCAAAATAAATGAAAAAAAAACAAAAAAAAACGACTGACACAATAAACATGGAGAGTTTGTAAATTTGGTTTTAAACAAATTGGACAAGGGTCCTTGGCCCGACACAATATGACTAGATACAAAATAATATTTCTATTAAGATGTACAGACCTCTTTAGCTGCTCTGTATCCTGCCTGAATTGCACCATCCATATATCCTGCCCATTTTGTTGCTGTTTCAGTTCCAGCAAAATGAATTCTTCCATGCGGTTCTTGCAAACATCTGCAAAAGTTAGTGTAAACATATGCAGCAAGAGTTAGTTAAACTTTTACAATTTGACCATAACTTTAAATTACTATAGTTATTATCTGACTGATTTTTTTAAGTTTAAAACTGAAAAGAAATTCAGGGTCAATAATATTTCGATAAGCAGCTATACCAAGAGAGCATGCGGCTTAGCCACAATCAGATGTACATTTTGTGTTTCACATGAAGTCAAAAATGAAGATCACATCAGGCAAAAACCCTTTTGATAATGTGGTACAGAAATGGTTTAAATTATGAAAAATGGCCATCATAAGGCTAACACTTGAAGCATTTATATAATTACATGCAGTTTTGGGAAGAAATATTTAATATTTTTATTAAATAAATGGTGTTTTAAAACTGTCTAATTTTCTTTAATGGTTGCCTTCAAGACATGGTCACCAGTTTCATATTTTTGGCCAATCACAAAGACAACAAAATATGTTTAGAATTATTGAATATCAAACATTTTAATAGAAAAAAAAATGACAAGAACATGTTTAACTCACAATTATTTCAAACAACAGTAGCTTTCTTTTATCATTACTCTGATCTGATCAAACTATTTCTAAAATAATCTATTAATAACAAAACTTCAAAAAAAAAACCTTTCTTTTGGTGTATAGAACATTAAAATAACTTGATGCATATTCTAACAATTAACAATCAAAGTTAGCAATACAATTTATATGTTTTGTCTACGGACAAGACATTTTATTGATATTTAATTAAATGCATTATTAAAACTTAATTTTGACATAGTTGAATATGTTCTCTTGACAAAATAACATACATTTTATCATGTTTATCTATCAAATGATGCTGAACCTCAAGGAAATTGGAAACAAATACATTGTGATAATGTCTACGGACAAGACATTTTATTGATATTTAATTCAATGCATTAAATAGATAATTGTTAAAATTAAGATTAAGTTACCCATTTAATTTTAAGCTGTGTTTTTTCATTTTTGGAAAATATAAAAATGTACCCATGATTCTTTACATATCTCAAAATTTTATTGATGAAGCAAAAATGAAGACACATTCTTTCAACTGAAATCCATAAGTCGGACTGTTTAACAATTAAACTTTTATTAAAACTCAATTTTGACATAGTTGAATGTGTTCTCTTGAAAAAATAACATACATTTTATCTATCAAATGAGGCTGAACTCAAGGAAATTGGAAACAAATAGATTGTGGTAATGTCTACGGACAAGACAATTTCAGTTGAATAAACAATCTGTTAGAAATAATTGTGATCATATTTATGGTGAAAATACTGAGTTTTAATGTGTTCAAAGAACTTTGATCACCTATAAATTAGATTTAAGTTCCAAAGTAGACAAATAATTGAATTTAATACTTGTTATGTACAAGTGTCTTGTCCGTAGACACATCCTCATCTGCTGGTAATCCTAAAATGCAAAAGATAAAGTCAGAGAGAGAGAGAAATACTATTTCTTCATTTGATTAAGTTTATCTTTTAAGTTATGAAGAAGCTGGAATAATAATATTGAAGTAAAATAAGGTATGCTTTTTATGACTGACAATTTGCCACTTTTTAAAATCCACTCCTGTAAAGTAATTTTACAAAAAATGAGAACAGTTAAATAACCATTAATTAATCAAATATAATATATTTCTAAGTTTAAACAACACATAGGAACAATTTAGATCCATAAAGCCTAGCAATATTGATATAAAGACATGTCTACGGACAAGACATGTGTCTACGGACAAGACATTCTGACATTTTTTTCAAATTCTTCCTCTTTAAAAAGATGGTAGAAATTAATGTTTGTAGTGTTTTCATATCTACAAAAGTGCAGGAACCTAGCAATGCAACATTTATGTTATTACACTTCAAGTTTACTAGGAAATGCATGTCTACGGACAAGACATTTTTTCACTTTATTTGTATATCCATTTTAGATGGCATATATCTCCAGCTAGGGTACTGCAATATAGATATATGAGGTAGTTGTTGCTAATTCATATACAAGAAGAGAAAACAAAACACATAATAGCATAAATTTCATTTATTTTTCTCTTTTATTACTACACTATACAAGGTAAAAACAAAAATACAAAATTGCATAACGAACGCATAGTATTCCACTTTTTATCATAACTTTGTAACCACTGAAGATTTTTCGTTGCAACAACCAGCAAAAGAAAGATGAATAAATTGTCTATAACAGTGAACCAATAATGTAGTTCAAATTAGGTTCACTTATTAACTATCAATTGATAAAAACAGTGTATTTTTAAATGAAACAACATAACGTGAAATTTTGGCCATTTTTAGCGTGTATTTGGTGTTTTTTTTTCAAAATGGTAACACATATACATGATATTTGATATGCATTGTGAAGCCCTATATTCTTTCCTTCAGTTCAAAGATGTAATACTTAAATTAAGTTCTTCTTCTTGTCTATAGAAGCCTATAACATAGACCTAATATGAAATGTACATCTGATTGTGGCTAGGCCGATGATATGTCTATCTACAAATCAGTGAGAGTAGACATTTTGTGTAGATTTAATATGTGTATGACTGATCAAAACAGTCAGTGTGTAAAATTTCATAAGGAACTAAGTTGATGTTCATATGAAAAATTGCAGTGTTTTTGATGATAAAAGTCTCAAAATCAGAAATTACTAATCAAATCAAAGGGAGATTACTTTTATTAACTGTGCCGATTGAGTGAATTAATTTTAGGCAGTCAACGGACAAATGAAATATTCCTAAAAAGTTCTGCGTTACCCTGTGCATACTTATTTATAGCATGGTTTGTGTCTTGTCGTGTTATGAGAGAATTGAATAGGCAACTCCTGGTATTCAATTGTTTTGATTTATTATCTATAAAAGTACAGCAGCTCCACTGTCCCCAACTGTAAACTGGACCCCTGTTGTGTTCATTTATCGCTACACTAACTTCTGTGTGGAGATTTAGATGGAACGGCGGACCAGTTTATCCCCAACTGATGCACATACTTTATCTGTCCAAAGGTAAGGACTAAATTATATTTTTGGGGTTCTTGTTAATTCATTTTTGTAAATATTATTCAAGGAATGTATGGGTGAGAACAGTTTGAATTTAATTTTCCATATACACTTTTTTTTATTTCAAGGAAACATTGACAATACTGGTATAAACCTGATATTATTTTTATCAAAATTGTACAAGAAATGAGGCTTTAGGTCACTGACAATGCAATTTTCCAATGAATTTACATTTCTTAGAGACATAAAACCTGATTAATTAATGATCAGCACATATTTTTGAACTTTTACATGACAGCTGATTATAAACATTTGATACAAATTTCTTACATTTCTACATGAACTACATGAAATGTAGCCTTGAAAACGGGTGCAAAGCAATTCAAATTCATTTTTTTATTTTTTCCTTTAAAATTACCTGATCAGCACTGATTTTTGAACTTATCCAAGACATTGCTCAAATAACACTTTTGGTATAATTTTCACAAAAACCTGGCAATAATAGTTGTGTGATAGTGACTACCAATACTGGATTTTAACAGCATACATCATTGTGGTTTTGTTCTATATTTATCATTTTATCAAAAACAAGACTTCCATGGAAAAACAGTCCTACCAAGTTTAAGATTGATTTCTCTTATTGAAAAAAATTATTAAAAGTTACTTAATTAAAAGATTGTTATCTATCTATGGAACCTATAATATCAAATATTAAAGCCTCTTCTCACTTCCTGAATAATGGACCCAATTTTTTGTGGCTGAATTAACACATTCTCTTTAGAAATGAAATGGACGTAACATGCATGCCTGGTTTTGCTTTAACTGTGATAATTCTCATGTCCAGACAATTACCATAGGATGATTGATCATAAATAAAATGGTCTAGACTTACCTGCCCATAGTTGTCAGTACACCAGGTGGCATATTAGAAGAATAACATCCACCAGAAAATTCTTCAGCCATCCAATTTTTCTCCAAATAACCTATTGGCTGAAAAATAAATCTTAAATTTAATGTGAATCACACAATATACTTCAAAAGTGATGACTAATTATAATTCACCAATAATCGGTCAATAACCCTTTAAAATAAATATCTCTATACTGTGGTTTCATTATTATTCGTTGGATACCAAATTCTGTGGATTTCAGGTGAACCACTTAATTAAATGTTCAATGAAATACAAATTTTCTATAAGGTTTTATGCAGACTTTCGCAAAACCAATAAAATCAAATATCCAGGAAAATGCAAGATTTCCTCAATCCACGAAAATCAGTACCCACGAAAATAAATGAATTTACAATAAATATAAACAAGAATGTGTCCACAGTACATGGATGCCCCACTCGCACTATCATTTTCTATGTTCAGTGGACCGTGAAATTGGTAAACTCTAATTTGGCATTAAAATTAGAAAGATCATATAGGGAACATGTATACTAAGTTTCAAGTTGATTGGACTTCAACTTCATCAAAAACTATCGTAGGTGGGGCATAAAAATAAGAAGATATGGTATGATTGCCAATGAGACAACTATTGACTAGAAACCAAATGATGTAGATGTAAGCGACTATATGTCAATAATGAGCAAAACCCAAAGAGTTTATCTATAAAAGTTTCAACATGACAAAATGTAAAGCAATTTAAACATGAAAAAAAAACTATATAAAAGAAAAGGTAGTTAAAGCATTTAAAGTAACCTACACTTTCAACTTTAGCTTCAAAGATTTAATTAATTTCATTATTTGAATAAATTTTGATTTTTTAAAACAAAAACAGAAGGTCCTAGAACAACAAATCATTTAGAAGGTTGGCATAGTAAACTGAAGAAGTTAATCAATGCACCCCACCCAAACATCTTCAGCATGATCAAGTTGTTAAGACAAGAAGAAGCCTTCCATGCTCTCACACTTATCCAATACAGAGACGGTGGGAAACGTGTTCCAAGAAAGAGAAAATACAGAGAAATAGATGACAGACTTTATGACGTCTTTACTCTAAATCCATTGGATGTTGGATGTGTACTGATTGATATTTTAGTCTTAGATGTATGATTTTGTTTTATTAGTTGTTATTGGCTTTGAACTAGCTGTCAGTAACTGCGAGTACTCTCAGATCTGTACTTAGTGTCATTTTGTTGTGGGGATGTATAAGTACCCGTCCATGTCCACTCGGTGTTTTTGTAAGATGTATTTCTATTTGTATCCATCTGATGAGTTAAGCCTTTTTCAACTGATTTTTATAGTTTGTTGTTCTTATGTTGTACTGTTACACCACTGTCCCAGGTTAGGGGAGGATTGGCGCCTTCAAACGAGTTTCACCCCGCCACATTCTGTATGTGCCTGTCCCAAGTCAGGAGCCTGTAGTTCAGTGGTTGTCGTTTGTTGCTGTGTAACATATTTGTTTTTTGTTCATTATTTTGTACATAAATTAGGCTGTTAGTTTTCACGTTTGAATTGTTTTACATTTGTCATTTTGGGGCCTTTTATAGCTGACTATGCAGTGTGGGCTTTACTCATTGTTGAAGGCCGTACATCGACCTATAGTTGTTAATTTCTGTGTCATTTGGTCTCTTGTGGAGAGTTGTCTCATTTGCAAACATACCACATCTTCTTATTTTTATATTCAAACACTGAAAACAAGGTTACAGAATGATGAACTTACGCCAGTCCAGTCCAACAAAAACGTTCCAAATGATTTTCTTACAGACGAAAGTGTGCAACAAATGGTTCGAGACACAATTACGAAAATAGAAAATTTTATTCACGTCGACCAGGATATTCAAAGTGCTTACAACGAATTTCAAGAGCTTGTCCAACGTGAAATGAACAATAGATTACCAGTGGTGAAACAAATACAAAGCAAAAGGTCGAAATCCTTTTATAAACCGTATTGGAACGAAACACTACAGAATCAGTGGAATATTGCTTGCGAATATGAAAAACAATGGCTGAAATTTCATGGATCTCCACAACGTAAAAAACTCATGAAAGATAGATATTGCAACGAAAGGAAAAGTTTCGACAAACTTAACCGGAAATTTAAAAGAAAATTCAACATTCAGAAAGAAAGAGATTTACAAGAGCAGCTGAATTCGAATTGCAAGCGTGATTTCTGGAGAAGTATTATAGGAAAACTGGGTGTTGCAAACGAAAGAACAGAAAATATACCATGGGAAATCTTGAACCCGGATGGTACGGTAAATACAGACAGAGATGCAGTTCTCAATACTTGGAAGTCCGATTTTGAAACATTGTACGCAAGAAATGATAACATTGACGATCTCGATAATTTAGTCAATGAGGAAAACATAACTGATTTACCTGATCTGAACAATAACATAACCCGTGATGAAATAGTCAAGGCCGTTGAACATACGAAATTACGCAAAGCAGCTGGATATGATGAAATTCCATCAGAGGTGCTAAAGAATGAAAGTGCGATCGACTTACTGCATGTTATATGCAACGGTTGTTTTGAACTGGGTAAAGTGCCTGAACAGTGGACATCTGGAGTTGTAAATCACATATTAAAACCGGGAACAAACGATAAACGCCTCCCAACAAACTACAGGGGAATTACGATTACATCCGTACCAAGCAAAATCTACTGCAGTGTCTTGAACTCACTTTATGTAAGCAGTTAGAGGACAACGATATTCTGTGTGAGGAACAAAATGGCTTTCGCCCGAAACGCAGTTGTGAAGAGCATATATATAGCCTTACTTCAGTTATATCAAACAGAAAAATATCAAAACAGTCTACATTCGTCAGTTTTATAGATATGAGGAAGGCGTTTGATTCAGTATCTAGAAGCCTATTGTGGTATAAACTCCGACGTGCAGGTATTCAAGGAAAATTCCTGTCCGCCATACAGTCACTTTACGAGAATGTCAAATGTACAGTCCGCGTGAATGATAGATACACTCCATGGTTTGATGTGGACTGTGGTGTGAAACAAGGGTGTTTGTTATCCCCGGCAATGTTTGCGATCTATATTAATGATTTGGCAGAACTCATTAACAATCTACAGTGCGGCATTCGAATAGGAGATGATCTTTTAAGTATCCTTCTTTACGCCGATGATATAGCGCTTATTGCACCCGATGAAGATAGTCTGCAAAAAATGTTGGATGTTGTCTCAGATTGATGTATTCAGTGGAAGCTTGATGTTAATCCGTCCAAGAGTAACGTAGTGCATTTCCGAAATCCATCTATCGATCGTAGTAACTTTAACTTTACTTGTTCCAGACAAAACATTACCTATGCTACATCATATAAATATTTAGGCATGTGGTTAGATGAACATTTAACGTTCGACAAAGCCGTATGCGAACTATCAAAATCAGCGAGCAGAGCACTCGGTGCATTGTATGGCAAATTTATAAGCGCAGGTGGAATGACACACTCCGTATACTCCAAGTTGTATTCTACTATGGTTGAACCAGTGTTATTTTATAGTTCGGGAATATGGGGCACAAAAGTGCATTCAGTAATAAACTCTATTCAGAACAAAGCAGCTAAATTTTTCATGTCTGTTGGAAGATACACTGCAAATACTGCGATTCGAGGAGATATGGGTTGGACCTCTTGTTTTACGAAACAAAGAACTGCATGTATACGATTATTAAGTCGGATATTGCGATCTGATGATAGGCGTTTAACTCGAAAGATTACCGAGTGGACTAAAAATCGACGTAAAGGATGGTACGTTAAAGTGAAAAGTTTTGCGGAAACCGTTGATGCCACTGCTATTCTTAATGATACATTAATTTCTACAAAAACTGTTATGCGAACAATAAAGGAACGCTTTGATGTCCTTGATAACGATGAATTCAAACAAGAGTTGTTTGATGATTCGAACAATGTAAACAGTAATAAATTAAGGACATACCGTTTATACAAAACAAACGTTAAAACTGAACGATACCTTAAGCTACAACTCCCAAAAAATGTGCGTCGAACTGTTTCCCTGTTCCGTAGCGGGTCTCTGCCGCTGGCGATCGAGACAGGACGATATGCCCGACCGCGAACACCAGTAGATGAAAGACTATGCCGACTATGTAATAGGAACGATGTTGAAAGTGAAAAACATTTTTTGTTGTTTTGCCCATTATATGACGATATTAGATTTGAATTGTTTGCTAAAGCTAGAACTTTAATTGATGGTTTTGATACTCCTGATATGGACAGTAAATTTATCGAAATAATGTCTTGTGAAGATATACAAACTTCTTTGTCATATGCAATTTTAAAATCTTTTCAGAGACGAAAACTATTTAGCACATGAGAATTTATCAAGCAAAAATAGTTAATGTTTTTTATATTTATATTTATGAACAGTGATTTTAACTCAAATACTTTAGTCATTTTGGAAAACCTTTTACTTTTTTGTAAGTTTGACTGTGATAATTAATATTTCTATTTTTATTTCTTATTTTTAAAGCTCAGTGTGATGATAAGTAAATCTTTTTAAATCTTTTTTAGATTTTTAGAATTTGAATTTTACACATATAGAGTAAAATGACTTGTTTAGTGAAGTCTTTTAACTTTTAGATTTTAGAAATGTTTGTACATAAGTGTCTCATAAGTCTACATAAGGCTGGATATTTGGTCATTTTATTTTGTGTTGTTTATGTAATTGTGTATATATATATATATATGTCTGATCAAATATGTGACACTATAATAAAATAAATCATTATTATTATTATTATTAGTATGGAGATGCTGCTTCTCATCTCCTGCACATTGATTAAGACTTTGTATTCTCTTGTGTGTTCAATTTAGTGCAATGTATTACTGTGTTAGTGCTCTGTTTTATTGTCAATTTAGTGTACTTTTCGGTACTTTGTTTCAATGAATATGTAGTGTAACTCAAAATTTAGTGCTTTGTTTCAAAGAATAATTACTACAATTTTAATATATTTATATTTCAATGGATATTATTTACTTGTATATATTAATATTTTCACCTAAATAATTTCAATTGCTTGTGAATGACCTTGTGCCTATAAATTCATATTGTGCTTTTGAATATTATTTACACAAAATGTGCTATGAAATTATTAAATAAAAAATTGTAATAGAAACTATTCTTTTTCTTTATTTTCCACAAGATTTACCTGGATTTACCTTTTCAATGTCACGGAATAGAAGTGCCTTCATACTATATAAGTTCCAAATGGAAACAATATTCTTGAATATTATTTCCACTGGAATAAATATTACAATAAATGCATGTTCCTAACGGAATAAATCGTATAGAATATTTGTTTCAACAGGAACAGATATTATGACATTGTTTATAACAAAGTTTCCAGTGGAACTTCTGTTAGGCGGAACAAATATACGTTGACAGGTTCATTAGTTTAGTGTTGTTACAACATAATCCTACATAATCCCATTGTTTACATAAAAATTCTGGGAACTCCAACATAAAATTTTACTATTTTACCTATAAAATTCAAAATGTAGGAATAGCCAGAATAAACCAGTTTAAGTTAGAGACACAATGGATCTATAGTACATAATTAATCACTTTACCATAGGTGTCAATTTTCAAGATTCTGTGGAAGCCTCTCAGTATTTTATCAAAAATGTGGAAATCTCCCTATGACTTTACAGTTTTCTGAAAGGGAGTAAAATCTCCAAATTTGGAGAAGTGCTTTTAATCTCTCTTTTTCTTCCCCATTTATTTTTATTTCATTAAAAATGAAGTGGTGGTGTATTTTTTAGATTAACACATTATTGTCAGCACACTGTTGATTTACACAATAAACATCAAGGGACACAATTCATTCTCTTTTAAATAGTTGTCTTACTAATTTATATAAATTTGTGAATTTTCAAAAAATACTATGAACTAATTTTTTAACCAATTTTCCTGATTTTATCTCATTTAAAATTTTTTTTTTATACTTTTTGTTTTAGTTTTATGTTTCAAGAATTCTAAAGTAAAACATCAACTTAAGTTTTTGACATCAAATTTTACCATATGAACAACATCACAAGTTACTATATGGAAAAAGACTCGTTAAACTCTTGAAAATTAAAAAATTATGTTCAAGAAATCATCAGCAAAGGCAAATATTTCAAATATTATAATTTAACGAGAGCAATATAAATTTGAGAAGAAATCAGCCACAATTATTTTTTTGCAAAACATACTGATTTATATAGAATATATATACAGGGAAAAAATAACTAGAGGCTCTCAAGAGCCTGTGTGGCTCACCTGTATCTACTGTGGTTTTGGAAATCATGTAAATAAAGGTTAAAATCACAATTAATAGTATTAGATACCCTAATAATGATTGAGGCCAAGTTTGGTTAAATTTGGCCCAGTAATTAAATTAAAAGCAGGTCATCCCATTGTAGTCTTACAATTAGTAACTAAAGACCCCTTATCATTATTTAAATTTGTTTTCAAGTTGTGACTAATTTCCACTTAGACTTCTATAGTAAACCCCTATGTTCTATTTTTAGCCGTGGCGGCCATGTTGGTTGGATGGCAGGATCATCAGATACATTTTTCAATCAAGAAACCCTATTGAAAATTGTGGCTAAGTTTAATTCTATTTGGCCCAGTAGATAAAGTGGAGAAGATTTTTGTAAAAGATCATAAATATTTAAGAAAAATTGTTAAAAATTGACTATAAAGGGCAATAACTCCTCAAGGGGTCAATTGAAAATTTTGGTCATATTGACTTATTTGTAGATCGTACTTTGCTGAACATTATTGCTGTTTACAGTTTATCTATATCTATAATAATATTTAAGATAATAACCAAAACCAGCAAAATTTCCTTAAAATTACCTATTCAGGGGAGGCAACCCAACAACGGGTCGTCTGATTTGTCTGAAAATTTCAGAGCAGATAGATCTTAACCTGATGAACATTTTTACTCCGTCAGATTTGCTCTTTATGCTTTAGTTTCAGAGATATAAGCCACAAACTGCATTTTACCCCCATGTTCTATTCTTAGCCATGGTGACTAAATACCCTAAGGATGATTTAGGCTAAGTTTGGTTTTATTTGGCCCAGTAGTTTCAGAGGAGAAGATTTTTGTAAAAGTTAACTGACGCCGACAACGGACGACGGACGCCAAGTGATGAGAAAAGCTCACTTGGCCCTTTTGGACCAGTCTGGTGAGCTAAAAAAGGAACAGCTTTTGTCCGTATACTGTGCCAATCCTGCTAGAAAAATTGCTGATGTCATTCATGAGACTAGACTGATCTGAACGTTGATTGTAAAAACATTCTAATAATTAATATTTTAAAAGCAAAAATAAAATAAAATATTATGAAAATTAAAAAAAAAAAAGATTAACCATAAATTTCAATTCGAAAAATTTTCCCCAGGATAGCTAGCTAGCTTATAAAAAGCTGTGCCTATTAACTATTTATCATTTTTATTGTCAAGTCCCATTCCGTGAATAAAAACAAATACTTGGCATTAATATGATTGAATTTGATTTAAATCCCTCTTGCAGTGTTGTAATATTAGCATATAAACACAATTTTTGATATTCAGCAAGATAATAAAAAAATGCCATTCATCCCTATTTTTCTATAAAAACAGCTTTTTCTCCAATTACATAATAGAAATTTGAATTATAATATTAAATGTTTTGTTATACACGTAATTATATATAAGCAGTTTGAAATCGAACTGCAAAACAAGCCTGTCGTTACAAGCTAGCAATTCCAAGGTGTAGAAACATATATCAAGCAAATTATTACTACATCGAAGCTTGGTAGTATAAACAGAATAGGATTTGGAATGGCTTCATGCACTAAATTTATTTTAATGCTTGTGATCAGCAGCTCTATTATTATTAGGCATCAAATCTTAGGTAAGAATTTTTTTCCTATCATGAAAAATGTCTACAGAAATTTGTAGGTCAGTTTCCTCATTCTAAAAGATGTTACTACAGACTTTACTTAAAGCATATTATTCAAATTTTTATTTATTTATTTAAATATTTCATGTGAAGATTAACGATATGTACTAAATGAATGCAAATTAAAGGTCAACAATCATCAATTCTGTTAAGATAGATCATAAAATCGTTGGGAGTGGTGACTGCCCCCGATTTATTTTACATTATACACTCGGAGTGTGCCACAGAAAAAAAAATGTTTGTTAACAAATCAGACCACGGTTCTTATATAAGCAATTTCAATTACATACTGTTTTTTTTTCAATAAAATTACATTTTAAAAAATTATCAAACATAATCAATTACATTACAATTACATCACAATTAGTGAATTACATTGTCAATGTAATTAATTACATTTTAATTACTTTTGTGCAAGAACTATTATCATAAAAAATGTGAACCAGCAATTATGTAGCATTTAAGTGGTTTTTAAATTTTGTTTTAATTCATCTAAATTCCTCATGTTTTTTTTTTTTTTACTTAAATATTTTTTTTCTTGGAATCATGTTTTTTCATGAAATCAAGAAGTAAAAAAAAAACCTCAGAATTTCATTTTAAGGATGAGAATGTGTAGGTTTGCACCTATCAAATCAATATGTGTCGTACATCCATAGTTTTGTGTCCCCCACAACCAGTCGCATGCGGGGAAAATGGTGGTGAGATTAACATACAAGTTAAATTGTTGAAATATCTAATTATGATATTATATTAATTTCCCTTATGAAGAAAGAAATATGTACATGTACGCAATCTAAGTTAAAATATTTGTATGGAACCTGTGTCTCGCCTGCAAGTCAGGTGTAATGTTGACTGTAATAAAAGAACAGAATTCCAATGTCCCCCGCGTTGCACATATTTTATCTAGATACAAGGGCAATAGCTAAAACAAACACTTTTTTTTTGTTCTTTAAAACTTTTATAGAGAAATGAAGGCTTCAGAGAAATGCAATGCAATTTCCGTTATAATTAATATTTCCAAGGGGCATAACTCATTATAAATAAAAGACCAGCACTTATTTTCGAAAGTGTCAATAAATTGCTTCGCCGAGCGCAGCTGGATACGACCGCTGAGGTCCAACCCTGAACAGTTGGGGCAAAAATGGACACAATATTCGCGCTTGATACAGGTCTGAATTTGGATTGTAATTAAATATTTGACACATAACAGGTTTCTGACACAGAATAACTGTAGTCAAAGGACTTAGAATTGGTTATATGATTTGAATTTATATTCAATTTTTTGCTTTTGTGCAATACACTATGCTGTTGCGAATTGCCCCCCCCCCCCCCCCCCCTCCACCAAAAAAATCTTTCCCTCAAAATATGGTCATAATCTCAATTCAAATTTCCAATGGAGTTTGCAACCATAATTACCCATTTAAATACATCATAAAAGTCTTAAAATAGAAAATGACATACATAATCATGGCTAAAATTAATATTCCATGATCAGCATTTTCAATAGTAACTTCTAAAAATAAATTGACAGCTAATCACCTCAAGACAATACAACATTTCTTTATACATAACTTAAAAGCAGTGTAAGGGAGGTAATCCAAACATAACATTGTACTTGTAATTGTCCATTAACCAGGACACCCTTGTTTTTCCCCCTTTTTTGCCCCTTATTCTTAAACGGTTTGAGCCATAACCCCCCAAAGCCAATCCTAACCATCCCTTTGTGGTATGGAAACTTGTGGTCTAATTTCAGAGAGATCCATACACCTTTCCACAAGTTATTGTCTGGAAACTAGAAAAATGCTTATTTGGGCCCCTAATTCCTAAACTGTTAGGACCATAACCCCCAAAATCAATCCCAACCTTCCTTTTGTGGTTATAAACCTTGTGTTTAAATTTCATAGATTTCTATTCACATATACTAAAGTTATTGTCCGGAAACCAAATGTCTTCGGACGACGCAGACGTGATACCAATATACGACCGCAAAAAAATATAAAGACATTGCTGATATAAACTTATGATATAAGTTTCATAAAAATCTGGCAAGAATTGTACTAACGATGCAATTTTCAATTGATTAATGTTTCCAAGGGCATAACTCTTTTAAAAAAAAACTGATCGGCAATGATTTTCGAACTCGTCCAAGACACTGATATAAACCTATGATCTAAGTTTTTATGTAAATCTGGCAAGAATTGTACATGCGAGAGCGCTAACAAGACTGGATGGATGGATGCCCGGATGCCCAGATGCCTGGTATTTTTATGTCCCCCCAACGCATTGCGATAAGACAGTACATTTATCAGTAAAATATAGAATTAAAATTAATAAATAAAATATTTCTTTAGATGCTATTTCTTGATCTTGCCAGTCAGACATGTACCGGTACACCTTACAATCATTCCATACACCAAATAGAGTTGACCTATTGCTTATAGAATCAGACTTGACCTGAGGAACACTTCTCCTTGATCACCTGAGGTCAGGTTAACCCTGTCTGACAGAATATAATTATCCTATATATTACTCAAAATAAGTGAGTATTTCACATGACAAAAAAAACATGCAGTCACTGAACCATGAAAATGTGGTCAAGGATAATGGATATATGACAGTGGGAAACTTGGTAACTATCATAAGGTATCTGCATATAAGGTATGAAGCATCCAGGTCTTCTACCTTCTGAATTACAAATGTATAAAGCTTTATATAATTAGTTTACGCCATCACCACTGCCAGATTGAAATCCCTGTCTTGCATTCTGCTACTTTTGTCGTAGGCGAGACAAAAACCAGTCCATTTATCAGTAGAATATGGAAAAATGGTAAGAAAAAGCTTCTGTCCGAATTTCATAAAATTCCATGAGGCTTGACAAAGTTATTGATGACTGAAAACCTTTAAACTTAGACTGTATTTTAATAAAAAGTTACTGAGTCTATAAAAATTTAACCACAGACTGAACCTAAATGTTGATGACACCAACGCCACCATCTATTGCGACATAAAGACAAAAAAGAAATTCAAAATTTTAAGTCCCCACTCAATGAAATAACAAAAAATACAATTTACTTGTAATTGCATGAGAGAAATATCTATTCAGCTAAAACTGTTATGTAACTAAAAGTAATTGAAAAGTAATTCACAGTTGCATATAAAAAAAGAAATGTAATTTATTACTTTCAATTACATGTAATTGAAAACCTGCTAAATTACACATTACATTTAATTACTTGAAATTTAAGCTTGAATTATGTATCTTTACCTTAGTATAAAATAAGATATATCTAAGTAATTTTTGTTTAAAAGGCTGTCAATTTTTAATGATGGCTTCCTAACATCAAGATGCATATTCACAAGGATACCATGTGAATGTAGTATGAAGATACCCTGTTTTGTACAAGTATGACACATTGAGTCTGATTTTGAACTTGCTAGCTATAGGCCAAAAGTCAACAGTGAACACTAGCACATGTTAACCTACCCAGACACATTATTTTGACTCAAACCTAACCAGTCTTTGATCTTACTCCTCAGTGTATCATGCTTTGTGGAGAAGCAACACATACCAATTTTCCAGTTTTTTGGTTTGACCCAGCCAGTGATCCAACACATGTCCTCTCTCACTCAAGGTGAACATGCTAACATTATACCACACAGGTGGTTCCTTCAAATTTTGTAGAAGCCCAATAGTCAAAATCTAAAATCATTTGATTTATACATTGTACTTGCAAAATAGGTTATCAGATCAATGGTTTGTAGTGTAAAAGTAAAATTTTTGTAATGATTTGCGGATGGAAAGATAATGCTGCAAATAGGCATTTAATCCTGTTAAAATTTACAAGACAAATAATAATAACAAGGGATTTTCTTTCATAAGGAAAGATCAGAACATTTTTATAATAAAGATGCTAAGATATATTAATTAGGTTATGTTTTTTTCCTAAAAAAATATTCTGATCCCCAATTTGATGAAAAAAATATAAATATTGTGGTCAAGCAGATGACAAAAAAAAAGTATTCTGAATCCAGATTTTCCCCATACCTTATAGTTTTGAATTTTGAAAAAAAAAAATTTGATAGATAGTGTCAAAAACTAAAAAAAAAAAAATTTTCTGACTCAGACAAAAAACCATAACCCCCCTCCCCTTGAAGTTAAATGGTTGCTCCCTTATTTTTATATTTATTCCTTATTTATAAAATTCCAAAACAGAACATATTTTATCATCTGTCAAATATGCTGCAATTAACAGGAATTGTTGTTTTCACATATATTTTTTTATTTAATTGAAATGTTTTAAATAGCAGAAATACATCATGGTTTTGAACTGTTATGCAATTAAAATATATATGCAATTAAGCTGAGTCAACAGTTTTGTAAAAGAACAATGTTTTATTGTACCAAATAAAAACTATTTTGAATGTTTTCAGGATATTCTCTGGCAGAACGGATATATTATTACAGAATCTGTGAAAACTTGAGAGAGCAGATATTTCCCAGGTCTAGCTGTCAAGAAATAATGGAAATGCAAAATTGTGTGTGTCAACACTGTAGCAATATAAGAGATAAAAGTTGTTTCCAGTTGTATATGTGTGTATAACACATTACAAATAACCGAATACAATGTATATAATAAATGATTTGTTACAAGGAAGATATATAGAGGAAAAGATGTTGATGTGGTAAACATCGGAAATTGACCTCTTAAATTTGTATGAATCTCGTTATTACAGAAAGGTTGTGCTATTTGTAAATTAAAAAAGTACTTGAGATATGCTTGTTCTTGTTTATTCAAAAGATGTGTTGATTAATTGATAAGACAATAAAATGCTCCGCTTAGGCGCAGCTGGATACGACCGCAGAGGTTGAACCCCTGAACAGTTGGGGCAAGTATGGGCACTACATTCAAGCTTGATACAGCTCTGAATTTGGATTGTGATTAAATATTTGACACATCATAGGTTTCTGTCACCGAGCGAATTGGTCAAAGAACTGAAAAATTTTAAATATATATAGCATTCTGAAAATTAAATTATACAGAATAACAAACAAACCTACCACGAAGTTCTTCAAAAATTTTACAAAACAAATAAAAAAAAAAACAATTTCCAAAATATCATTCATCATCAATACAGTGTCTTTAAACAAGATTGCACACGCTGAAATGTCTCGCTTGTTTTTACTGACCATTAATTTTATGTTGAAAGTCTTCAAGATAAAGGTTTTACTAAAAGCATTACAGAAACTTAACATTATTAACTAGAGGCTCTCAAGAGCCTGTGTCGCTCACCTGTATCTACTCATGTAAAATAAGGTTTAAATCATAATAAATAGTATTAGATACCCTAATAATGATTGCGCATGAGGCAAAGTTTGGTTTAATTTGACCCAGTAGTTAAATTAAAAGCAGGTCATCTCACTAGTAACTAGACTTACAATAGTTACTGAAGACCCCTTATCATTATTTAAATTTTTTTTCAAGTTGTCAACCTTTGAAATTATTTTTTTTACAATTTTCCCTTAAACTTCTAAAGTAAATCCCTATGTTCTATTTTTAGCCATGGCGGCCATGTTGTTTGGATGGCAGGGTCATTTTTCAATCAAGATACCCTATTGAATATTGTGGCTAAGTTTAGTTCTATTTGGCCCAGTAGATTAAGTGGAGAAGATTTTTGTAAAAGATTACAAAAATTTACGAAAAAAATTGTTAAAAATTTGAATATAAAGGGCAATAACTCCTTAAGGGGTCAATTGAAAATTTTGGTCATATTGACTTATTTGTAGATCGTACTTTGCTGAACATTATTGCTGTTTACAGTTTATCTCTATCTATAATAATATTCAAGATAATAACCAAAAACTGCAAAATTTTCTTAAAATTACCAATTAAGGGGTATCAACCCAACAAAAGGTTGTCTGATTCGTCTAAAAATTTCAGGGCAGATAGATGTTAACCTGATGAACATTTTTACCCCATGTCAGATTTGATCTAAATGCTTTAGTTTCAGAGATATAAGCCAAAAACTGCATTTTACCCCTATGTTCTATTTTTAGCCATGTCGGCCATGTTGGTTGGCAGGCGGGGTCATCGAACACATTTTTTAAACTAGATACCCTAATGATGATTGTGGCCAAGCTTGGTTTTATTTGGCCCAGTAGTTTCAGACAAGATTTTTGTAAAAGTTAACGACGACGGACGCCAAGTGATGAGAAAAGCTCACTTGGCCCATCAGGCCAGGTGAGCTAAAATCTATGACAATGAAGCCAAGGTCAGATAAATTGTGTCAGACAGACATATACACCTTACAATTTTTTTATACACCAAATATAGTTGACCTATTGCGTATGCTAATTGAAAAATAGACCAAAACACAAAACTTAACATTGACCATTGAACCATAAAAATGAGGTCAAGGTCAGATGATACCTTCCAGACAGACATGTACACCTTACAATCATTCCATACACCAAATATAGTTGACCTATTGCTTATAGTACTTAAAAAAATTTGTAAGGGTTCCGCGGAACCCAGTGTCTCGCCTACTTTTTGCTGTTAATCACAGGCTCAGCAAAAATGAGGAAAAAAATTAATAAAAATATTCCTCTCTATACTATCTTTTGATTGTAAGTAGCCTCTGTCCAAGTTTGGTAAAAATCCAGGATAGTTTATGAATCTAATAAATGTTTTAAAAACTTAAACTGCAGACTGTATGTAATGTAAACTGGAAGAAAAACTAAGTCCATTTATAAGTAAAATACGGAAAAAATGGAACAAAATTTCCTTCTAGATACTAGCTTTTAATCATAAACAAGCTTCTGTCTAAGTTTGGTACAAATCCAGGATAGTTTAAGAAAGTTGTTAAAATTTTAAAAACTTTAACCACAGAGTGAATGTAATGTTTAAACTGGCAGAAAAACTAAGTCCATTTATAAGTAAAATACAGAAAAAATGGAATTTTTTTTTTACAAAATTTACTTCTGGATACTATCTTATGATCATAAACAAGCTTCTTTCCAAGTTTGGTAGAAATCCAGGATAGTTTAAGAAAGTTATTAAAATTTCAAAAACTTTAACCACAGAGTGAATGTAATGTTTCCTGGCAGAAAAACTAAGTCCATTTATAAGTAAAATACGGAAAAAATGGAATTTTTTTTTACAAAATTTACTTTTGAATATTAACTTATTATCATAAACAAGCTTCTGTCCAAGTTTGGTAGAAATCCAGGATAGTTTAAGAAAGTTATTAAAATTTCAAAAACTTTAACCACAGAGTGAATGTAATGTTAACTGGCAGAAAAACTAAGTCCATTTATAAGTAAAATACGGAAAAAATGGAATTTTTTTTTTACAAAATTTACTTCTGGATACTATCTTATGATCATAAACAAGCTTCTTTCCAAGTTTGGTAGAAATCTCGGATAGTTTAAGAAAGTTATTAAAATTTCAAAAACTTTAACCACAGAGTGAATATTTGTGGACGCCGCCGCCGCCGACGACGCCGACGGAATGTAGGATCGCTATGTCTCGCTTTTTCGACAAAAGTCGAAGGCTCGACAAAAAACAGACCAAAACACAAAAACTTAACATTGACCAATGAACCATGAAAATGAGGTCAAGGTCAGATGATACCTTCCAGACAGACATGTACCCATTACAATCATTCCATACACCAAATATAGATGAACTACTGCTTATAGTATTTGAGAAACGGACCTAATCACGTAACTTTAACCTTGATCACTGATCCATTAAATGAGGTTGAGGTCAGGTGAACTTTGTCTGACAGATATGTAGACGTTGGAAGGAACCCGTATACCCAAATATAGTTATCCTATTACTCATAATAAGTGAGGAATTCACATGACAAAAAAACTCAATTTTTTTTTTCAAGCAGTCGCTGAACCATGAAAATGAGGTCAAGGACGATGGACATATGATTGACGGAAACTTCGTAACATAAGGTATCTGCATACAAGATATGAAGCATCCAGTTCTTCTACCTTCTAAAATATAAAGCTTTATACAAATAGTTTACGCCGGCACCGGATAGTTATACCTATGTCTTGCATACTGCGATTTTGTCGCAGGCGAGACAAATATCTATAAAACTTGCCTCTTTTCAAAATATCTAATAATGAACAGTAAATTTCAATCTATATTTATACATAATTTCTAAAATTAGAATATGATGCTATATCTATTTTAAACTATGACTCAACTTAAAATTTCTATTAATTGTGTAATACAGCTCTAAATTTAGATTCTGATTAAATACTTGATATAGCACAGTTTCTGACACAGAATGAACGTGGTCTAAGTACTTAAATAATTCAAAATTGGACATTTACCAATTATGGTCCAATATCTAAATTCTAAATACATGGTTGGAATCAGCATATCAAAGAACCCCTAGAATTAAATTTTTGAAGAAATCCAACAAACTTTAATATTGGACCCTTTGGACCTCAATGTGGACCAATTTGAAAAGAGGACCCAAAATCCAAAATCTAAATACACACTTAAATTCAGCATATCAAAGAATTTTTGTTGTTGTTAAAATCAAACAAATTTCAATTTTGAACCCCAATTTGAACCATCTTGAAAACTGCCCAAAATCAAAAATTTAAATCTATGCTTAGATTCAGCATATCAAAGAACCACAAGAATTCAATTTTTGTTAAAATCAAACTAAGTTTGATTTTGGATACTTTGGACCAGTTTGAAAAATGGGCCCAAAATCTAAAATCTAAAACACTGTTAGATTGGGCACATCAAAGAACACCAATAATTCAATTTTTGATGAAATCAAACAAAGTTTAACTTTGGACCCCAATTTGGACCAACTTGAATACTATGCCCAAAATAAAAAATATAAATACATGCTTAGATTCAGCTTATCAAAGAACCCTAAGAACTCATTTTTTTTTTTAAATCAAAAAAAGTTTAAATTTGGACCCTTTGGACCTTAATGTGGACCAATTTGAAAACAGGCCCCAAACTTAAAATCTAAATATAGGGTTAGATTTAGCATATCAAAAAACACTTATAATTCAATTTAATTTTGGACCCTTTGGACCTTAATATGGATCAATTCAAAAACAGGGCCCAAAATCCAAATTCTAAATATCCAATTAGATTCAGCATATTAAAGAACAACAAGAATTCAAGACTTTGAATTAAAACGACTATGAATTAAAACCCCATTGAAATTGGTCAAGAAATAAGCAATTTATACAAGTATTGCAAAAGTTTTGTTTTTGGCCCCTTTTTCCTAAACTGTTAAGGTCATAACCCCCAAAATCAATCCCAACCTTCCTTTTATGGTAAAACACCTTGTGGCACAATTAAATAGCAATCCATAGACTTATACTCAAGTTATTGTCCAGAAACCAGAAAATCCTTGTTTTTTGGCCCCCAATTCCTAAACGGTTTCGGCCATGACCCCCAAAATCAATCCCAACCTTCCTTTTGAAGCATGAAACCTTGTGGTAAAATTTCATAGAGATCCATACTCTTATAATCAAGTTATTGTCTGTGAACAAGAAAAATAAATGTTTTTGTTGGCCCTTAATTACTAAACAGCTATGACAATAACCCCCAAAATAAAATCCCAACCTTCCTATTGTGGTATGGAACCTTGTGCTAAAATTTAATAGAGATCCATACACTTATACTCAAGTTATTGTCTGCAAACCAAAAAAAATATTGTTTTTGGTCCCTTTTTTGGCCCCAAATTACAAAACAGCTATGACAATAACCCCAAAATCAATCCCAACCCTCCTATTGTGGTATGGAATCTTGTGCTAAAATTTAATACAGATCCATACACTTATACTCAAGTTATTGTCTGCAAACCAATTTATTGTCTATGAACCAGTAAAAAAGCTTGTTTTTGGACCCTTTTTGCCCCCTAATTACAAAACGGCTACGACAATACCCCCCAAAATCAATCCCAACCTTCCTATTGTGGTAATTGGAACCTTGTGCTAAAATTTAATAGAAATTAATACACTTATACTCAAGTTATTGCCTTCAAACCAGAAAAATAGTTGTTTTTGGCCCCTTTTTGACCCCTAATTATTAGACAGTTTGGGCCATAACCCCCAAAAATCAATCCCAACTTTCCTTTTGAAGTATGAAACCTTATGGTAAAATTTCATAGAAATCTATACTTTTATACACAAATTACTGTCATGAAACATGAAAAATGCTTGTTTTTGGCTCCTAATTACTAAACAGCTATGACAATAACCTAAAAAATAAATCCAAACCTTCCTATTGTGGGATGGAACCTTGTGCTAAAATTTAATAGAGATCCATACACTTATACTCAAGTTATTGTCTGGTCTTTTGAAAAATCTCATTGCAAATTTATTTGCTGTAACTCGTTTAAAGCCTTTTTATGTAACGAAAAAGGAAAGTATGCTAGATACACTTACTGGAAATGTGGAGATATGATGGAAGCTTTAAATTTTCTCCTGGACAACATATATGATGGAAGCTTTAAATTTTCTCCTGGACAACATATATGTATATTTCGGCGATAAAATGTATCGACAGGTAGTAGGCATTCCTATGGGCACTAACTGCGCCCCTTTAATAGCAGATTTATTCCTGTATTGCTATGAATCTCAGTTTATGACCAAACTCAGTAAAGACACGTCATTGTTACATTTGGTTGATACATTCAACAATACCTACCATTATCTTGATGATATTTTTTCGTTAAATAATCCAGAGTTCTCTAAATATACTACCGAAATTTACCCAAAGGAACTTACTTTAAATAAATCTTACATAAACAGCAGTAGTTGTCCTTTTCTAGGTTTAGACATTTCAATTTTTAAAGGGAAACTCCATACTAAAATCTACGACAAAAGAGACGATTTTTCATTCCCTATTGTTAATTTTCCCTTTTTAGACAGCGATGTTCCTTTGGCTCCATCATACGGTGTTTATATATCCCAACTCGTTTGTTATGCCCGTGTGTGTAGTGATGTAATAGATTTTAACGAACGTAATCAATGCATCACTGTTAAATTATTAAGTCAGGGATTTCGTTACCATAAATTGCTTAAAACGTTTACTAAATTCTTTCATAGATACAAAGATTTGATAAGTAAATTTGGCTGTACCTGTAGAAAACTTATTAAAAACGATATTTCACATCCTCAATTTTACGGTAATATTATACTAAAAGCGCGGAAATCACTATGTGATCCGTGTAAACTCATCGAACCTTTAAACAAACTTATTAGTAAAGGTTATCTTACCATAACATAACTAAATTTGTATTCTTTTCACACGTTTTTTTGGGATGTATAAATACACATCCACGTTCAGTTTCTATATATATATAGATTACTCTATCTATATATTACATTATACATATTTATTAACAGGTTAACTCCTAACTATCCTACTGCCTGTCGATACTTTTATTTTGGCATTGCACAAGTCATGTCTTCTTTGACTGTCCATGTATTTTTGTTATTTAATGTTTACTTATTCAGTGTTATATCTAGTCTCACTATATTTAATATATACCACCTTTGATAAGTGTTTAGTATGCCGATAAATTTTCACTTTTGTTCTCGTACTAGGAACAACAAAATTATTTCCGTACTACATGTATACCTTACAACATAATTATTTTTATTTACCTGTGGACGTTATTTTATTTGTAAGTGTTTCTTGTTTCTCGTTTTTTATATAGATTAGAACGTTGGTTTTCCTGTTTGAATGGTTTTACACTAGTCATTTTTGGGGCCCTTTATAGCATGCTGTTCAGTGTGAGCCAAGGCTCCGCGTTGAAGGCCGTACTTTGACCTATAATGGTTTACTTTTACAAATTGTGACTTGGATGGAGAGTTGTCTCATTGGCACTCATACCACATCTTCTTATATCTATCTACAGACAAATAATTGTTTTTGTTAAGCCCTTGTTGGCCTCTTATTCCTAAACAGCTATAACAATAATGCCCAAAATTAATCACAACCTTCCTATTGTGGTGTGGTACCTTGTGCTAAAATTTAATAGAGATATATACACTTATACTTAAATTATTGTCTTAAAACCAGACAAATAATTGTTTTTGGCCCCTTTCTGGCCCCTAATTACAAAAAAGCTACGACAATAACCCCTAAAATCAATCCCAACCCTCCTGTTGTAGTATGGAACCTTGTGCTAAAATTTCATACAGATCCATACACTTATACTAAAGTTATTGTCTGCGAACCAATTTAATTTTCTATGGACCAGTAAAACTGACCTTTTTTTTGCCCTAAATTGGCTAATTACAAAACCGCTAGGACAATACCCCCCAAAAACAATCCAAACCATCATTTAGTGGTATGGAACATTGTGCTTAAGTTTCATAGAGATCCATACACTTATACTCCAAGTTATTGTCTGCGAACCAAAATGTCTTCGGACACTGACGCAGACATCGCCATGACATAATATGGACTCAAAAAGTTTTACGGTCGTATAAAAAGTGTTGTAGCAATAAATGTTCTTTTCATCTAAAAAAGATGAGTCGATCTATTGACAAGACCAAAAAGTGATGAAGCTATAAATGTTCTTTTCATCTAAAAATAAAATGCTCCCCAGGGCGCAGCTTGATACGACCGCAGAGGTCGAACCCTGAACAGTTGGGGCAAGTATGGACACAACATTCAAGCTTGATACAGCTCTGAATTTGGATTGTGATTAAATATTTGACACAGCATAGGTTTCTGACACAGAATGAATGTGGTCTAAGAACTTAAAAATTTTAAATTGGACATTCACCTATTATGGTCCAATATCCAAAATCTAAATACATGGTTAGATTCAGCATATCAAAGAACCCCAAGAATTCAATTTTTGATGAAATCAAACAAAGTTTAATTTTGGACCCTTTTGACCTCAATGTGGACAAAGTTGATAACGGGGCCCAAAAATCAAAAATCTAAATACATGGTTAGATTCAGCATATCAAAGAACCCCAAATTTTCAATTTTTGTTGAAATCAAACAAAGTTTAATTTTGGACCCCGATTTGGACCAACTTGAAAACTGGGCCCATAATCAAAAATCTAAATACATGTTTAGATTCAGCATATCAAAGAACCCTAAAAATTCAATTTTTGTTAAAATCAAACTAAGTTTAATTTTGGACCCTTTGGACCTTAATGTAGACCAATTTGAAAACGGAACCAAAAATTAAGAATCTAAATACACTGTTAGATTCGGCATATCAAAGAACCCCAATAATTCAATTTTTGATGAAATCAAACAAAGTTTAATTTTGGACCCTTTTGACCTCAATGTGGACCAATTTCAAAACGGGGCCCAAAATCCAAAAACTTAATACACGGTTAGATTCAGCATATTAAAGACCCCAAGAATTCAAGAATAAAACCCCATTGAAATTGATCAAGAAATAAGCAATTTATACGAAGTATCTTCTTTTGCACAATACTGTGCAATTGAATATTTCTTGCTATTGCGCAATACTGTACAATTGACAATTTCTTGCTATTGCGCAATATTGTGCTATTGAATATTTCTTGCTATTGCGCACTACTGTGCAATTGAAGATTTCTTGCTATTGCGCAATACTGTGCAATTGAAGATTTCTTGCTATTGTGCAATACTGTGCAATTGAAAATTTCTTGCTATTGCACAATACTTATTATATAATAATTTACACATCCTGTTTGGTGTGTATCTCCTACCATACCATTATAATTTGCTTTTAAATATAAATCAGAAATAACCAACTTAAAATGGAAAATTTTAAAAGAAAAAAAAAAGAAAAAAAAGAAAAAAAAAAAATCCCCCCCCCCCAATTCTTTGAACCCCCTTATGATTCATCACCCCCAAACTCAATCCCAGCCTTCCCTTTGTGGTATGGTACCTTGCAGTACAATTTCAGAGAGATCCATACACTTGAACACAAGTTATTGTCTGGAAACTAGAAAAATGCTTATTTTTGGCCCCTTTTTGGCCCCCAATTCCTAAACGTTTCAGGCAATTACCCCCAAACTCAATTCCAGCTTTCCCTTTGTGATATGGAACCTTGTAGTACAATTTCAGAAATATCCAAACACTTACACACAAGTTATTGTCATGAAACTAGAAAAATGCTTGTTTTTTGCCCCTTTTTTGGCCCCTAATTCCTACAATTTTGAGGCAATTACCCCCAAAATCAATTACAGCCTTCCCTTTGTGATATGGAACCTTGTGGTACAATGTCAGAGAGATCCATACACTTACACACAAGTTATTGTCTGGAAGTTACAAAAATGCTTATTTTTGGCCCCTTTTAGGCCCCTAATTCCTTAACTGTTGGTACCATAACCCCCAAAATCAATCCCAACCTTCCTTTCGTGGTATTGAACCTGATGGTAAAATTTCATGGAGATCCATTCACTTAAACTAAAGTTAGAGTGCGAAAACCAATGTGTCTTCGGACGACGCCGGACGACGCCAGACAACGACGACGCCAACGTCATACCAATATACGACCAAAAAATTTTTAATTTTTGCGGTCGTATAAAAATGAGTCAATCAATTGATAAGACCAAAAGTATTGTAGCTATAAATGTTCTTTTCATCTAAACTAGAGGCTCTAAAGAGCCTGTGTCGCTCACCTTGGTCTATGTGAATATTAAACAAAGGACGCAGATGGATTCATGACAAAATTGTGTTTTGGTGATGGTGATGTGTTTGTACATCTTAATTTACTGAACATTTTTCCTGCTTACAATTATCTCTATCTATAATTAACTTGGCCCAGTAGTTTCATCAGAGGAGAAGATTTTTGTAAAAGATTACTAAGATTTACGAAAAAATGGTTAAAAATTGACTATAAAGGGCAATAACTCCTAAAGGGGTCAACTGACAATTTCGGTCATGTTGACTTATTTGTAGATCTTACTTTGCCGACATTTATTGTTTTTTACAGTTTATCTCTATCTATAATAATATTCAAGATAATAACCAAAAACAGCAAAATTACCTTAAAATTACCAATTCAGGGGCAGCAACCCAACAACGGGTTGTCCGATTCATCTGAAAATTTCAGGGCAGATAGATCTTGACCTGATAAACAATTTTACTTCATGTCAGATTTGCTTTAAATGCTTTGGTTTTTGAGTTAAAAGCCAAAAACTGAATTTTACCCCCATGTTCTATTTTTAGCCGTGGCGGCCATCTTGGTTGGTTGACCAGGTCACGCCACACATTTTTAAAACTAGATAACCAAATGATGATTGTGGCCAAGTTTGGTTTAATTTGGCCCAGTTGTTTCAGAGGAGAAGATTTTTGTAAAAGATTACTAAGATTTACGAAAAATTGTTAAAAATTGACTATAAAGGGCAATAACTCCTAAAGGGGTCAACTGACCATTTCAGTCATGTTGACTTATTTGTTAATCTTACTTTGCTGAACATTATTGCTGTTTACAGTTTTCTCTATCTATAATAATATTCAAGATAATAACAAAAAACAGCAAAATTTCCTTAAAATTACCAATTCAGGGGCAGCAACCCAACAACAGGTTGTTCGATTCATCTGAAAATTTCAGGGCAGATAGATCTTGACCTGATGAACAATTTTACCCATGTCAGATTTGCTCTTAATGCTTTGGTTTTTGAGTTATAAGCCAAAAACTGCATTTTACCCCTATGTTTTATTTTTAGCTGTGGCGGCCATCTTGGTTGGTTGGCCGGGTCACGCCACACATTTTGTAAACTAGATACCCCAATGATGATTGTGGCCAAGTTTGGTTTAATTTGGCCCAGTTGTTTCAGAGGAGAAGATTTTTGTAAAAGATTACTAAGATTTACGAAAAATGGTTAAAAATTGACTATAAAGGGCAATTACTCCTAAAGGGGTCAACTAACCATTTCGGTTATATTGACTCATTTGTAAATCTTACTTTGCTGAACATTATTGTTGTTTACAGTTTATCTCTATCTATAATAATATTCAAGATAATAACCAAAAACAGCAAAATTTCCTTAAAATTACCAATTCAGGGGCAGCAACCCAATAACCGGTTGTCCGATTCATCTGAAAATTTCAGGGCAGATAGATCTTGACCTGATGAACAATTTTACCCCATGTCAGATTTGCTCTTAATGCTTTGGTTTTTGAGTTATAAGCCAAAAACTGCATTTTACCCCTATGTTCTATTTTTAGCAATGGCGACCATCTTGGTAGGTTGGCGGGGTCATCGGACACATTTTTTAAACTAAATACTTGAATGATGATTGTGTTTAAGTTTGGGTGCATTTGGCCCAGTAGTTTCAGAGGAGAAGATTTTTGTAAAAGTTTACGGACGACGGACGCAGGACGACGGACGCAGGACGACGGACGCAAAGTGATGAGAAAAGCTCACTTGACCTTTCAGGTCAGGTGAGCTAAAAAGGTGAGTCAATCAATTGACAAGACCAAAAGTATTGTAGCTATAAATGTTCTTTTCATCTAAAAAAGATGAGTCAATTAATTGACAAGACCAAAAGTATTGTAGCTTTATATGTTATTTTCATATAAAAAAATTGAGTAGATCGATTGACAAGACCAAAAGCGATGTAGCTATAAATGTTCTTTTCATCTAAAAAATGATGAGTCAATCAATTGACAAGACCAAAAGTATTGTAGCTATACATGTTCTTTTCATCTAAAAAGATGAGTTGATCAATTGATAAAACCTAAAGTGATGTAGCTTTATATGAGCTGCATCTGATAGAAATCGACCTAGTGCAAGTGGCGATAGTTACATACAGTCCGGTATGCAGTTTAAATAGAACAAAAGAATTGGAACTCTTGTGTTTAGAAGGTAAAAAGTGAAATAAATTTTGTATACGGTTGCCAAGATGTCACAAAAGTTACTTTCCGTCAAAACATTATAAATATTTGCATTCACGTTGATCCATTTTCATATTGTACAACTGTTAACAATGCAACTTGCTAACAATCGTTTTTAAAACTACCAGAAGTCCAGCTGTTACTTCAATTAGGGGGTCTCCTTATAAACTGCTACTTTTTTTTGCCGACATAGAAAAAATCTGTGAAAAATTACGAATATTGAGAAATGAATTATCAATCGGTTAAGACCATTCCCAAAGTAGCACACCAAAATTTGACATTTGTACGAAATATCAAAGTTGGATGTTATCTGGCGGGGTTTCCTCGTTGATTAACGCATCGAACACACCCCGTCCTAAAAATGTAACATCACATGACTTTTTAGTGATTAAAACTATTATTTAAAAAAATTATTTGCATGTTTGATATGTGTGTTTACGTAAACAAGTACAATTACTCTGACAGTCATATTTTCTGTATCATTTAAAAAGTTTTGTTACACATTGAGTTTCACCTTAGTTATGCGGTAACCTGGATTGGTTGACCATTGTCAAGTTGAGTTCTTGGGGTAGCAAAGTCCTATAAATTAATATAAGACATCGAAGGTTCATATCAATTACATTCAACGTTTTTTATTGGACTTTTCTTTAATATCAATGTTGAACCTCGAATTCAACATTGATAGTAAGAACAATGTCCGATAAAAAACGTTTAATGTATATGATATGAACCTTCGAAGTCTTTGAGGTTCAACATTGATAGTAAAAAAAAATCCGATAAAAAACGTTGAATGTATATGAACCTTCGAAGTCTTATATTATAGGACTAGGGGTAGCTTGATTTATATCGTTGTATTTTTATTGTTTGTGTTAAC